TCCCAGCTACTTTGGAGGCTGAACCAAGAGAATCGCGTAAGCCTAGGAGTTTGAGGTTGCTGTGAGCTGTGACACCATGGCACCCTACCGAGGGTGACATAATGAGACTCTGTCTCAAAAAAAGAAAGACAGACAGAAAGAAAGGGGAGGTGAAAGAGGAGAGGAGAGAAGAAAACTTTACTTGCAAAAACAGGCAGGTAGACCAGAGTCCTCCCACTCCTATTCTCAACCAAGCCCCATCACTGCCTTGCTGGACAAGAGCAAGAGAAGGCTGCATCTGCAGTAGGCAGAAAGAGGAACTATCTTGCAGCTGACAACCAGCTCCTGGCCAGCCTCAGGTGTCTGAGAGCAAGAAGGCCTGAAGGCCACAGGCCTAAGTCAGATGCCCCCAAACAAGCTCTTCTCAGGAAGGTTCATTTTTATCACAAAAGTGATAAAAGTCCTTTTCTTAGGAACTTACAGCTCTGACTTATGGCCTAGGTCAGAGGAGCTTTCGAAGGAGGTGTCTTGTAAAGTAGTAACCACAGATTTACTGAGGACAAGCATCTGCTGCACAAACAGGGACAACCCATTCTGGTCCTGAATAAGCCATAATTCACCATGGTGAAGAACATGTTCAGTGCCACGCCCTCAGCTAAAGTATGAAACCAAACACGTCTGTGTCTCAGACACCCACTCATCCTCACACTAAAGCCAACACAGCTCTCCCTGGCACAAGCTACATGGAACAGATCCTGCCATTTCCACTCCAAGTGATCCCCACTTCTCTTGTCAAGCAGCTTCAAAGACAGCTTCATTACACGTGAATCACCTGGCCCTTGTCTGTAAAATTCCCTTACTATTCTTCCAACCTTGAAAGTCTTGCCAACACTGAGCATACTGTTGTCAGGAGCATTGTGCCTACTCTACTCCTCAAAGGCCCATCAAATGCCACCAAGTCGGCTCGGTGCCTGTGGCTCAAGTGGCTAAGGCGCCAGCCATGTACACCCAAGGTGGCGGGTTCAAATCCAGCCCGG